CTGACTGAGAAAAGAGGAAGCGGTAGCGGCAGCGGGAGTGTAAGGAGGCAGCGGGAGCGGGAGCAGTTAGCGGCGACAGTGGTAGCGATAGCGAGCAACGACAGCGGCGAGCAACAGGAGCGGCAGCGGCAACGAGCAGGGTTAGGGTTGGGCAGCGACAGTTGATATCAGTTTTAGTTGGTTCGATTGAACCAACTAAAACACCGGAGATCGAACCAGACCTAAAATCCTAGTTCGGTCGCCTGGTTTAACCCAGGCGCTCGCCCGAAGCGCCCAGCGCCTGGGCTCGGGCGAGCGCCCAAGCGGTGCCTCTTTGAAGCAAGCCGCCTGGAAGTGAAGCGAGGCGCTCGGGCCTCGCCTCGCCTCGTCCGAGCACCTAGGCGAGCGCCCAAGTGCCTTTTTAAATCACTGTGTGAAACTAACAAAGAAAAATGAAAAAAGTTCAGACAAGGAGAGAGAAAGGGATAGGAAGAAAGATGAGGATCAGATCCCACTTTCCCCATGGTTGCACCACCAAAGAACTGCCCATTCTGTGCAGCAAATTTGCTCCTTGCTGCCATACCTTGTCAAATTTGTTATACCCTGACAACAATGTGGAAGTTGTTGATCTCAGGACCCCAACCAGATCAGCCCCAGCAATGTTGCAGTTATGGATGCTGTCCTAAAAGGGAGCAAAATAGGGGAAAGTAGCTAGGAAAGGAGAGTGGGGAAGGGTTGTCTCGAGAGAAGAGGGTAAAAAGGGTTGAGGTATCATTTGCATCTATTGTCCCTTTAATTACACATATATGTGTTCAAAATCTAATCTTTATATTATATCAAATTGCCTTGGATGCATGTCCGGTCCAATTATAATCTAAAAAGCTGGATTGAATCAGTGATCAGTGGTTAGATTGTTGATCAGAAGTGCAGTCCATTTATACTTAAATTAAATAAGATAAGATCCAATCCACTTGCAGTCCTAAATTAAGGAGAGAAGATACCTTCTACATGCCTCGTTAGATTTGCTTTTACCACACTAAAAAAGAGGTTTTTGAGTATGAGATGTGGGAGAACCTGGAACAATTCCTAGTTCCACTTTATCTTTGGTGACATGTTATAAACAAGGGCAGAAGGCAAAAGTGAACTAAGCATTGAGTTTTAAGATATGGAAAGTTAACTAATTATGGACTCTTTAAGTTTGGACTCTTAGCATTGAAATATTTTTGCATCATCTTTTGTATATACCTGAAGACACCATCTGGATTAGTCTTCATCTGGAACTGCTTTTGGAATTAAATTTCTATAGAGTAGTAGTTAATCAACTTGGCTATAGAATCATATGCTAAGTGGAGGAATATTAGCACTCGCACATAAGGGCTACAGATACACCTGTAGTTATCAAGTCCAGTCCCTACCAGCAGATAGGACTATCTTCTCTTGTTTTGGAATTCTGAAATTGTTTAGACTCTAGAACTTTTGTGTGCCTAAAGTTGGCTCCAAGAAGATGATAATGATGCTTGGAAGTTCTTTTGGATTTTGTACAAGTGGGGTTAGATGCACGAGCTATAATATTGCTTGACATAATACTGCACATGCAAGAGGTTTAAATGTAACTGAATCATTTATTTTGTATTCCAATTAATGTAAAAAAAGGTTTTATTTTTACATGATCAAATTGCTCTATTGGCATATAATTTCTAGTTGTAATTAATATTCATTCTTGGTCTTTTTGATCTACAAAGACTAGAAGTTGATTTCAAAGGGATCCCACACCTCATCTTTTCCTGGAGTGGTCTGAGTTATTGAAGTTTTATGTGAGTAATGAGTATGTTCCTTTTAAGATTGATCTTTAAAAGTTAAGTGTGCTTATTACTATATCTTTTTCACTGTCATTTTTAAACCTAGATTCACAGGAGTTACATTAGGCAACTGGCAGCCAGTAAAAAAATTTGTTGGATGTCGTGAGCATGAATCTTAACTGACTTCATTATTGACTGAAACCAAAAGTGACATGATGCTTTTCACTACCTAAATGTAATAATAGATTGGCTAGTTTGTGATCTGGAAGTGATCCATTGTATCAATGTTGGATGTGTTGCACATTATACAGATTGTTTTGTGGTGATACTAGTAAAAAAGTTCAGCAGTCAATCAGAATTCAACTAGAAATATGGGTAAACTTCTGTTTCAATGATGACTGGGAGAAATTTAACTTGATTTATTATTGTGCAAAGAAAAAAAAACTTGATTATATACAAGAAACTATGTGGCGGTGGGGAGAGGGTAAGCGGATTGACCGATAAATGGAGTCTACGAGTAGGCTGTGCTTTCTAAGATGATCAACTGTGTGTGTATAAATAGTTCTTTAGAGATGTGTGTTTTTTGGATGATACACCAAATATCTTCAGCCTCTTGCTGGAATTTCTTCCTTGCTGTGGCTTCTTTCTATTGTAGTTTGAATGTAGGAAAAGTTGAGATGGCGCAATGATGCAAAATTTATTAACATAATAGCATCTGTATTGCTTTCTCTAAACCATTACTCTGTTTCTTGGTTTTGATGATTTTTGACGGGGGGGAGGGTGGGGGTGGGGGGGCTCTTATTTTTCAGAAGGATCAATGCTTTTGCTGGATTCTAATTTTTTTTCCTTTATTGTTGTCTTGCAAATTGTTGACCTAGATTTTTTCCCATGCACAGGTTTTGCAGAAGGCTTTGGAGATATGGGATCTACAAGTTGTACCTCTCAATTCTCCAGTAGCTGAGCTATCTAAATTTGAGCCCGAGCTCGAGAATGCCTTCATATGTCACTTGCATGACCATTGGTTTTGCATTAGAAAAGTCAATGGGGAGTGGTACGACTTCAATAGTCTTCTCCCTGCCCCCGAGCATCTTTCCCAGTTCTACTTATCAGCTTACATAGATACCCTTAAGGACTCTGGGTGGAGCATCTTCTTGGTTAGGGGTAACTTCCCCACAGACTGTCCTATACCACATGACTACTCAACTGGTTTTGGGCAATGGCTAACTCCAGAAGATGCACAGCAGATAGCAAAATCATGCAATCAAATGAAGTTTTCAACCCAAGAATCATATTCAAGCAGAATTGATACGATGGCTGAGCAGGAAGAGGAAGATCTGAATGCTGCAGTTAAAGCTAGCTTGATGGATTATACCAATATTCAAAATAGACCAGACGTAATTGAAGGTGGGC